ATGGCTCACGATTTTGGTAATTCCCGAGAAATTTGCCATGATGTTTATGACGTCAGAGATCGTGCATCAAGGTGGCGTAACAGTTCCTTTTTGCGTGAGATTGCGGATATATCCCCTCCCATCACCTTTCAATTTCCTAAAATCGAAGCAGTTGAAGGTGGGTCAACTATCAGGATATAGTCGAAGGTAAACGGCGTCGAATTTGGATGCTGTCGAAAAATGTACTTTTTGTAGTATCGAAAACTACATTTTTGGGGGGCAATTTGTTAGCTCGCCAATTCGACGACTCATGTTTGGAGGCTATTTTCAGCATATTAAAAGACCTACAAATCTTCCAAGGACTTAGGAAAATTGAAGTCTTGAAATTAAACACTTCGACTTAAGCAGCGAAGTGGTCTTCGACCGAGATTTAGAAGAAGGGACGAATTGAGTTTTTGAAATTCGAATCTTGGAGGGAGTAGTTATATTTTCTTATGACTAAGAAGGACAAGTGGCTCTCATCGGATAAAGGACTGCATGCAGTCTGACACTTGTCAGGAATAGATGGCCTAAAGAGGTTATTAGCAGTTACTATTATTGTTATAAATAGGAGTCTTAAACATAAAATTTAGTGTGTGTTGTAATTTACTGTTGTACAAGTCACTCTTAAAATTACTCCAAGTATCCGAGTGTAGAGAAAGAGAGTATTATAGAGAATGTACGTGATGTAAACACACCATCCTTTATCTTTTCAATGAAGTTCCTTTGTTTTCTTTACTTTTGTCAAGTACTTTTATTTATTTCGTCTTTTCTTTTGTTCACCATTACCACTTCGATTGGGTCTTTCTCTCCCAAAAAACCTTTATCTCTTTCCCCTCTAATAATTCTTCTTCCTTCTTTCTTTTAAACATAGTGGATAATTTCTGCCCCCCCCCCCCCTTTTAAATTATGTCTTCTTAGTATTGTTGAAACACATTTCTAGATAGGCTCAAATAGAAATACCCTTTAGCACATATCCTAGGATTTCGTATGGTCAATCCTGCAAGTTAGTCAATTTGACACCAAATTGATAGACCAGAGGTTGTTTACCAAAAAACACGGTAAACAACGCGTAGGCCCTTAGTTGCCCAGGTCCATACGCATAATGCCCAGTTGTTATGCGTATGACCAGAGGGTGCTCTCTCTTCAATCCTCCCCAAAAGTTGCCCATACGCGTAATGGTTTTGCCATACATGTATTGCTTTTCCCCCTTAAGCGTACGACCAGAAAGTTGTGATGGCTTCAGGGACAGGGTGCGTATGTTACGTGTAATTCCCTTGAGTGAGTCCCCCATACGCGTAATACCCCCTGTCATATGCGTATGGCCAGTCTGCTACGTAAAAATAGGTTTTGGCATCAATGCAATTTTCCCCCATTGGAGCACCTTCAAGCTCCTGATTTTAACCAAAAACAGCATTTGTATCAGTATAAACCTAAAGTCCTGATTTTAATTCATAATTCATCATTTTATCCAAATTTTCTACCATTAGAATCCATTTTCGTTAACCCTAAACCCCCCCCCCCAAATTCCCATATTTGACCCCATAGCAGAACCCAACAACAACAATACCAAATTCATACGAATTTCATATCCAATATCAGCGTGCAACACGAATTCACGTCAGAACAATACAAGATACAAATTTACAATGATCATCATACAAGCATACAATCAATCAAGAAGAAGAAGAAATGCATAGAAATCCTAAAAGGGAAAGGAACCCTCACTACCCTCTCATGCTCAGACCACCATTAAAGAAATCATTCTCCCCCCTTAGCCTAATTCCAAGATTTCTTTCTCTAACAATGGTGAAGAGTCTTCCTCTCTACTTGCCCTTGCTCTATTTCCTTCTCTCTTTCTCTTTTCATGTAACTGACAGTTTCTGATCCTTTTAGGGATAAATATTCCATGTAATAATAATAACATTTATAATAATAATATTAATGAGATATTCCCCACTAACATTTATATCATTATTATCATAATAATATTATTCTAAGTTTCATTCCAACAAAATTTTGCTACATTAAGTTCTCACACTCACCCTTACATACATACCCTTAACTAAGTAAATGTCAAAATAATCATATCAAATAAATCACAAAACAACTTAATAATTAAATGTGGTGTTACAACTTGTTAGTTCTTGATTGGCAGGAATTTTGGTAAAACTTGGTGATATCACAAGATGTCCTACAAGATGTCTTGACGTATGTTCTTAACTTTCTGTAGGTGGTTATGTTTGTTGTTGCAGGGTTTAGTTCATGATGTCAAGTATGATATCCTGACATTTGTGAACAGAACATTCAGTGAGAATGTGTTTGTTTGAGTATTGTATTTTTGTGCAACTCTTTGCATTGTTGTATTTAGAGTTTTGATGATTCAAATCTGAGTGGAAATATTCCTTATTCAAAAGAGTTTTTGGTGCATAATTCGTGGAGTAATTATAGAATCTTTTGTTCTATTTTCTGAAGCAAATCTTGAAGGTTTAAAAAGTGATTTGATTTGATTTGATCAAATCTGTTTTGGCTTTATTTCCTTAATTGCTTTTATGTAAAGATCTGAAGAATTATCTGAATTGATTTTATCAAATCAGAAGTTATTTTTGGCTGAAGCCCAAGCCTGTTCAAGTGTTACTATTTAAAGTCTTCATAATCATATTTTGAAGAAGAGAGAAGCTAGGTTAAGTTTAGTGCATTGTGAATAAGCTTTTAGCTTCGTGTGTTTGTGTTATTTGTGAGCCAATCACTCATCACATTGATGTATGAATTGGACTGAGTTTTTATGTTGTAAATTGTCCACTCAAAGCTTGTAAGCAAGAGTGTATTGTTCTTGATTGAAGCTTTTAAGCAAGATCAAGTATTGTCTTTGAAGAGTGTCTTCTACAATTTATTCATTTGTTGTTATCACTACTGTGATTGAGGGGGAGTGAGAGGTATCACTACTACAAACAAACTATTTAATAGCGTTTTTTTTTGCTTTTTGATAGCGCTATTAACCAGGCTGCTATTGTAAAAAAAAAAAATTGATAGCGCTTTAAAAGCGCTATTATAGTACTGGTAATTAATAGCGTTTTTCCAAAAGTGATATTATAGTACCGGTATTTAATAGTATTTTTCTAAAAGCGCTACAGAAGTATACATTTTGCATTTTATAAAACGTAATTTGTTTTGATTTTGATAGCATTTTCAAACAAGCGCTATTATAAGACACGTATTAGATAACACTTTTCTATAAAAGTGCTATTATAGTACGTATCGTTAATAGCACTCTCTCTTCAAAACGCTATTGTAGTACACTTTTTTTTATACAAAATCATTCTTTTGATATATATATATATATATATATATATATATATATATATATATATATATATATATATATATATATATATATATATATATATATATATATATATATATATATATATATATATATATATATATATATATATATATATATATATATATATATATATATATATATATATATATATATATATATATATATATATATATATATATATATATATATATATATATATATATATATATATATATATATATATATATATATATATATATATATATATATATATATATATATATATATATATATATATATATATATATATGGCATTTACATTTTATGACATTAGAATTCATAAAATAATAATGACTAAGCAGCTAAAATATTTGAAAATAAAATAATAATGACAAATGTGATACCATATATATTTATACCACTGCCATAATAAACACAGAAGGAATTGCATCTATGTATATAAATCAATCTACACTACATAATAGTGGTAAATGATAACAAACAAATTAACAACCATATTCATGACATTGATCTCAATGAAATAAAGCTAAAACTTTTGCCACTAGTTATTAATTTGGCTAAGAGTACTTCAAACCAAATTCCAAACAAAAAGTACAATCACTTAGCTAGGCATATTCTCTAAACTAATGAAAAAAACATCTAAAAAAATAAGAAAGGACAACAAAACAACATCAAGTAGCTAGTAACCACTTTGCGAACCAAAGCACTGCTACATCCAAAGATACAACCACTTTGCTAGCTAGCTAGACAAAATCATTGCTTCTTATTTTCCTGTATCATAGAAAGAATATTGATTATGTATTGTACAATAATCAGAAAAATAAAAACCTGAAAACAAAATTTTAATATATAATTAAAAAATACTGTATTATGAAGAACATCATTTTACCTAACCAAGTTCAATGGTAACAACAGGATTCAAAAGAACACCTTAAGTGAAAATGGTACAACCAATTCAAACTTTTAATATGCAAGTAAGGTATTAAGTATCTATATATTGTAGGCTTTAGAAAACTCACCGAAAATATCATCCACCATATAGGTAGCCCAATCCTCTTTGACCTCAGTTAACTTATCCTTAGTGTAGGTACGACATTTGTGGTCAGGAAAGTACTTCAAATATAAAAACATCAACAATTGTATTAGAACTAAATTACATTAATTTACAAATTAATAACAATTAAAATCACGTACATTTATGAGGATCATAATTTCATTTTCCATGATGACCTCTTTCATAAATCACATTACAAAATATCCACAGTCAATGCTATTAATTTGACGGGGACACTGCAAAAAAACATTTACATATATTACTTTTACTCTACATAATTATTTTAAAATAACATTAATTTGGACATACCCGAATTTTTTACCATGAAATTTTCTTTGACTTGGAGACTTTAGGCACTTTAGAGTTATTATTAGCACGATAAATTTGCAATACACTAACAAAATTAAATTAACTTCAAATGAGTAATTATTATAACTAAGAATACTTATATAAATGTTAAATTAAAAGAGTCTATACTTATTTCTCAAACTTGGTTTTTAAATTTTAATGTTTAGTTGGCTCACCATTCAACGGATCCATGTAAAATATCACCTCAGCATCGAGATTGATGACAAGTAATACCTAATGTTTCCTGCAAAACAAAAAGCACATCACATTGAGAAGTTAATTTGTTAATTCCCCACCATTTCAATGTTTACAGTTACTATAGCAAACAAAGATAGACCTTTCTCGTAAATTTAATAACATTTTGAATAGAAATCTCACCCTAGATTGCAAGGTGCAAGAATCATCTTATCCTTGAAGTACTCCTCATCTTTCAGAAGTATTTTTGCTATAGCATTTCCTAGATTATCCTCCCGTGATACATGTGGGGATATGAAGGAGAACTTATTTATTAATCCATTTGGACTAATAAACTTGTCATACAAATACCTAGAAATGAACAACAATAATTGGTATTAATATATTTGTCAACAATTTAAATATCAATATATTTGTCAGATTAGAAGAAATTTGTAATAATAGAGGTACCTGGAAAATACAGTGATAGTAGAGACACTTAACCAATTGTGATCAAGAATCTCTTTTATACTTTCTACACGTAGATGCTCTAAAAACTCCTCACCAAATATACTTTCCTCCATTTTTATTTGAATTAACGATTCAACCCTCATCATCTTTTTCACATACATATCAAGGAAAGGTAAATTTACAAGACTAGTTGAACCGCCAACTCTAGGAGACTCTTCAATTTTGAATTTTTTGTTGCTTTTGTTAGGTGACGAAACAGAATCAACACTTCGTTGGGTATTCTTAACTTTGTTTTGGGATTGATCGGGATTCTAAAATTTTTTATTAATTAAGGATAGTGATCAAATAATAAAACAAGTAACGATCAAGCAAGTTAATAATAAGTAATTTACCTTTTCACATTCAACAACAAATTCAAGAAGTTTCATTGGCCATGGCACAATTGTTCCTATTGCCTGAAAAACCATCGATACATCACCACCTTCAACAGATATAGGCAATTGAGCATTTTGCACAATAGCAACTTCGATATTAACCTTGACATATCCAGGTGGTAACGTCATGTCGTGCACTGTGTTACCTTTGGTGTTATATAGTTTGCCACGAGCAACCAAACACCGACTCGGGGATGATAAATATATATTAACAGGAAAGAGACCCTAAACCAATGAGATACGAATAAAAACATTAATATCATTATTTACAAAACAAACATATATGAACTGCTTTGAATTTATGCATTTTGCGCATGTTTTATACTAAAAACATTAATATCATTATTTACAAAACAAACATATATGAAGCTGAGCCATGTGGGCGGGTTGAAGTTATGAATTTCAGGAAGCACCCTAGAAAAACCCCTCCTCAAAGGCCCCACTTTGTTTTCATTTCTTAGTCTATATTTGGAAATCGCAGTGCGATTTTCAAGGTGTCACGTTGCGGCAACATGAAGCTAGCACAGATAGCTTCCTAATTTTCACACCAGAGAAAAACCACTCCTCAGTGGCCTCTCTTTGTTTTCATTTCTCATTGCATGGCAGTTTTCACAACATCGCCATGCGGCAACATGAAGCTAACACAGATAGCTTCTCGGCCTCTACAGTGTTCTTCCTACTCATTGTCCCACATTACTACTCTATTGTTTCCTTTGAGATTTTGTTTCCAAGTTATCATTTTTGGATAATAAGGTAAGATATCTTGAACAATTAAGAGAAGCTCAACTCCATTATACCCCGTATTGGGATTTTAAGTATACATTGAGGAGTTTGAGGTACTTTTGCCATGAGGAAATTGACTAGTTGAGCTTGTACAACCTAAAACATTTATATAGTATTGCTATTGAAGCACTCTTTTCAATTTAAGTTCATCACTATGAATTGAATTTCTCTGACTAAAACTTGTGAATACATGCATTCTAATGCTGCCATCAATCTTTCAAGGTCACATGGATGTATAAGTATGGGTTTTGTATAACATATAATACAAATTATTTAAAGAAGCCAATTACCTCGGGAGTATTACCAAATGATACAGGGTTGTAAGAATCTTTATCACTTAACTCTTGCCCATGTGTCCCTTTTTCAGGTTGTTGCAAGCTCTTTGACACTTGTTCAGGTTGTTGCCTCTCTGCCACTTCTTCAAGTTGTTGCAAGCTCTGTGTCACTTTTTCAGGTTGTTCTTTTTGGCCACCTCTTCGGTTTTTTGCCTCTCTATCCAACTTATCTCTCTCCAGCTTCTCTCTCTCTAGCACCTCCAATCTACTTTTGAGTGTGTTGCAAAAGCCATATAATTTTTGAAAGTCCATTTGTGTGAGGCGAATTTGGCGTGGTAATATGTCCCTAGAACATACCCCAAAACCGTAACTCCTAATACGCCCAGAGTAGTTTGGGAGTTTTAGAGCCTCGAATAATATGTCCGTAGGACCAAGGTCTTGTCTCTCTTCTTCAGTTAGAGCTTCTATTAACTTCTCCTGACATCGATAAGTATAAAAGACTTGTTACAATAAAATCAATTTGAACACTTTCATTAAGATTAATCGAGATCCAAAATATTTTCATTGATCCAAAATATTAACATTCGACTTACACATTGATCCACAACTCTTTGAACATTCTCATTATCAATCACCCTATTCTTATTGACGTAGGCAGCCTTCCACACTTGACTATGATTTATCTCATCTTCTCCCGACTCTTCTACATGTATATATATTTTGACAAATTAACATAGAAATTAAAAAAATAATTTATAATCTTGTACACTACTTTTATACACATACTTACCATATCAACTTCAAGATGAGCACACCCTAAACGTGACTTTCTATAGGGATGTTGAGGATTTAACGCTCTTTCTCGATTTTCACTACTAACTTTCTGCATTAAAAGCACTATAAGACATTAGTAGTAGTGTTACTGTTCTATACCTGTGAGTTTTGATTAATTATGCAGAGAGGAAAATATGAAAGTACATAACTAGAATCCAATGGAATTTCATACTTGTAGGACATTTACAATGAAATATTTTACTATTAAAACAATAACAAAAGCATGTATGGAAGCTAGGAGTAATGGTGCTCTCGTTGCAGTAACAGCTTCAGATGTCTCCTGCATTGAGAGACATTTTGATCATTTCTGGTAAGATCTGAAGGTGAGAAAATACTTAGAAGGGGGGTTGAATAAGTATGAAGATAAAAACTTAGAAGTAAAAAGTCAGTTATTTTTATCCTGATTCGTTGAACTCAACTACCCCAGTCCACCCTTCCTAGAGTGATTTGCCTTTCTCAAACAAGGACTTAATCCACTATTTAATCAACTGATTACAATAGTAAGCACTAAGAACAACTGTTCAAAGTCTTCTCAAGAACTACTGATCCTAACTGGATCTTCTTAAGGTTGCCTTACAATCAAATGTAATAACAAATACAAGTGTTAAACTGCTTCTAATAAAGCTTTATCACAACTGTGATTTTTCACTTAAGATTAAGAGCAAAGAAATAATTCTAGAAAGAATATATGAGTTTGTATGAGAGCTTTGATTGTGAATTCTTTTTAAGTAATGCGTCAACTGAAGAAGATGAGTGGAGACTTGCTTTTATAGGCACATTGATCCAAGAGTATTTCACGTTGAGAAGTGTGTACCAAAAGGTCTGAGCACTTTTTGTCTTCACATCAAGTGACCTTTCCTAGAAGAAGAAAGCATAGAGAAATCCTTTTTGTCTGTGTTCTTGTGTCTAGCATAAATAAGGAAAGAGTCGTTTGGATATTCCAACGGACATAATCTTTGAATTCTTCTTCAACAATTTTCAGCAAGAATCATCAGAGTCTAATTTGATCAGAGCCTTCTGATGTTGATTAGAGTTTTGCTGAATCAGAGACTTTGCAGCAAGTGTGCTTTTAGCGTGTATAAGTTCAGAGCAGAGTTTTGAGTCAGATCCTCAGTACTGGCAGCGTTAGTACTTTCAGAGTCTTCTGAATTAACTATGCTTGAAAAACTCTTCATACAGAATTCTTCATTGGTTCAGATGCTTCTGACTTGCTTCAGATTCTTCTGGAGCTTCTGCTTCAGATCCTTCTGGAGCTTCTGCTTCAGATCCTTCTGGAGACAACGCTCAGGATCTTTTGATGGCAGCATTCAGAATCTTCTAATGGGTGCATCTGACGCTTTAGAGCCTTGCATATTTCTTATGTTCAGATCTGATTTGCTTTTGGAGTGATATTTACTTTAGTATCTGCAGCAAACATTCTGAAGCAAATTTTAGAGTATATAATTCTTAATTACAAAATTTCATAATAGTTATCATCAAAACATAGAGATATTATTAAGAACCAATCTGTGTTCTAACAATCTCCCCCTTTTTTATGATGACAAAAACATCAGAATTTTTTTTTAATTGTAAAGAGAATAATTATAGCTCCCCCTGAGATGATGAATCTCCCCCTGAATTAAATATTAATAAGGAATAGAAACTTCCCTTTTTGTCTTGAGTATTTTTCAGAGTTAGAGCTTCATTGTTCTAAACATTTGAGAGTCAGAGTTTCTTGCATGTTTTAGAGTCAGAGTCTGATAAATTGAATATGATCTGGAAGTCACTGAGTTTCTTTTAAAGAGTATATCAGATATATCAAATGTTCTGAAACACTCAGATTTTATGTTAGATAAAATTGATATGTCTGAAGTTTCATTCTGGTAAAGTTTAATTAAACAGTTCAGATCTATTTTCTCCCCCTTTTTTGTCATAAGCAAAAAGTAAGAACTTTGAAAAGACAAATAAAAGGAAAAAAAACGAGATAAATTATGTAGAGAAAACATTGAAACATTCATTCATTCAGAGCAAAAAGTACAAACATCAGAAAATATTCAAGTACATGTGCAAACAATAGATGCAAACATCAGGAAAAAAAAATAAACTAAGATTGTTTTGACAAAATCATCTTCAACAGATCCGTGATCTCAGAAGAGGACTGTTCTTGTTTTGACATCCACTTAGCCATGGTTTCATTCTTCTGATCTTGTTTGGACATCCACTGAGCCATGTCTTCAGACTTCTTATCTTGCTTAGCCATCCATGACTTGATTTCTGATTGACCAGCTTCCAGAACTGCAATCTTATCTTCAAGATCTGGATTCTCTTTCTTGATCTCAGATGAAGAAGGTGGGACAGATTCTGAAGCATGAACAAAGTCAATTTCCATAGGGGCTTTGGAGTTAGGAGCAGCAGATCTAGAGGGATGTTCTACCAGAGTCATAGCCAGAGAGTTGTCTACATATTCATATTCAGTATTCTCTTCTGATGATGAAGGAGCATCTTTAAGAAGCAATGGTGCAGATCTTTTAACTGTCTAGAACAAACTTCTAGCAGTTTCAGCAAATCTGAGCTTCGCATCATCAGAACAGACGTTCTTCAGATTTAATGCTACAGTATTGAATCTATTTATGAAGTCATTCCAAATGGCATCAGATTCATTTGCATCCATTGTTGATGAACACATCCTCTGTGCAGAACCTAAATACATCTCTATTTCTTTCAAAAAACTTGTAAATAAATGATCAACATTCAGCCTAGGTTTTGGGTTTAGAAAAGTTTCCAAGGTGATTGGCTTGGGTTGGGGAGAAGGTGGAAAGATAGATTTGTGAATGGTGATCAGAGGACTAGGGTAGAATGGTATGAATGGAGGATCAGATGAATTGTTAGGTTTTGATCTGGTTAAAGCATTCAACAGACATGGTTTTGTAGTTGATGCATGAGAAACAACATCAAATGTTTTATCAGAGTAAGGTTTGAATGCAGATTTAACAGGTTTATCAGAGTATGGTTTTGCATCTGATGAAGTTACTGCTGGCAGTGTTTTAATATACGTTTGAAGAACAGATGGTAGAATGATGGTAAGTTTGGGTTTAAGAGGAGTGATAGTGTCAGAGGGTTCAATTCTGGTGTAGAGATTTTTTAAGGTGAAACCATAGGGAAGTTTGTGAGATGAAAACAGTTTACACGAAGCAGAGGGTACACACTCAGATGTCCTTGGCTTAGGTGTTGGGGTAGGATTGGGAATGAGAATTTCAGAGGATGGCTTAGGTGTTGGGGTAGGATTAGGAATTATAATTTCAAAAGAAACAGGTGGTTCTGGTTGGTTAACTTCAGAATTTCTGTGAGAGGGAGATATCAGAAAATCTGGGTGTATATCAGATTCTGGTGAATTTGAGGATGAGGTTGGAGTACAAGATGTGGAGGACACTTCAAAAACAGTTTTGAGAGGTGTAACGTTTAAAACTTCTGTCTCAGGGATATTAGTTTCAGATGGGTTGGTTGATTCTGATGGATTCTCAGAAAGTTTTGATGGGGGTTCAGATGTAGGAGGTTCTGATGTAGGTGGATCAGATATAGGTGGTTCAGATGTAATAGGATCAGATGTAACTGTTATAGGTTCAGAAGTAACTTGTGCAGATCCAATAGGTTCAGATGTGTTTGATGGTGGTTTTTCTGTTTGTGGTTGTTTTTCTGGTTGTTGTGATTGTTGTTCAGATTGTTTTTCTGGTTGTTGTTATTGTTGTTCAGATTGTTTTTCTGGTTTTGTTGGTGTTGGTGTTGGTGCAGATGATTGATTAGTAGAAGGTTTTATAGGAGTGATGGAAACAGGATCAGATGATTTTTGTGGGGAAGGAATAGAGATATGAGATGGAGCAGGAACAGATTGTTTCTGAGTAGGAGGTGGTTTTGGAATAGGCTTGAATGTTGATTCATTTAGAACAGTATTATTGAAAGAGGATACAGAATATTTGGTACCTTTAATCTTGATATGCTTTATGGGAACAGAGGGAGCGTCTCCAGATGCTTTCATCTTGATCAGCTTCTGAGGCTTGTCAGCAACTTTGGGCTTCTTCTGAACAGTCACATCTTCTGCTTCTGATTGACCTCTTTTCCTTGTGTTCTCAGTTCCTCCATCAGGCATTGGTTCCCTTGCTCTTTTCAGAATATCTGCAGGAACCGGGGTTCCATCTGCCTTGTAAGAATCAATATACCTTATAATTATTTCCCTTGGTTCTTCAGCACAGAACAGTGGGTAGTCTTCAACTAGAATTCTCTTCTGACTGAGTTCAGAGATATTCAGCTTCTTGGGTGCTGATGTGAGTTCCTCTATAATTTTTAGTCTCTGAAGACTCTTGGCATTCAGAGGTTTTCCAATAATGAATTCAAGTTCATCCGTGACTCCAGCAGCATATAGAGCAGTCACCAGTCCATTTTCTGTCAGAATATCTGAAATTAACCTTCCAAAGGGAATCCATGTTCTGATCTTCTGACCTTTTTCTTTTACAGATTCTCTTGAAGCATTAATATGGTTCCATAAGTGCATGAACAGAATGTAAGGAAGATCTACCTTGGTGCTCTGACTTAGACAGTACATGAAGTAGAGTTGTTCATTGTTCACGTAATCTGGAGAGTTTGTAGATTTTCTGTGATGAATGCATCCCATGAAAATCTTTGCCCAGATCTTGTAGTCAGGCTTCAGATCTTTAAACTTGTTAGAGGCCTGTCCAGCAGTCATGACTTCCTCATAAACTTCTTCTATATCTACATGCCCAGCTGGCAGATGAGATACTCCATCAGTCTCCTCACATCCTATGAGTTTCCTGATCAGATCTTCTGTAATAATAATCTCCTTACCCAGAACAGAAGACAAGATGAATTTCGAGTATACAGAAGCATGCATCTAGAATTCTTTCACCAGATGAGGGTAAACTGGTCCAAATAATATGTCAAAGTATTTTACCCAGCCTTGAGCATCAACTATTGAACGAAATTCAAATCCATTTTCAGCTAATGAATCAAATTCCACCATTGATTCACAGAGAACTTCAAGTTTGTCAACAGGTGTTAACAAAG